GAAGTATCACAGATGGATGGAATGTTTGTTTAAATAGTAATAAACTTGCAAAATTCTTTTCAAGTTAAGTTTTATTAAAGTGGTTCTCAAACTGGGGTCCCCAGATATTATTGGACTGAAATTCCCAGAAGCCTTCATGTCAGAGTATTGAAAATTTATAGGCCTGAACAGAATAGAACAGAGCAAAAGTAATAATGAGCTGCCATGTTATACACGTGTGTAATTTGCTGAGTCACAGTGACTCTGGAGAGGTGGTGTCTTGGATGATGCAACACTTGCTGTGATTGGATAAGAGCAGAGGCTCAACTGTATATATGAACTGTATAGAGAACATGTACCACCACCTTCATTTGATGGTGCAATGCAGTCATACTGCCGCTTTCTACATTTGTATATATGCTGTAAATACAATATCACTTGCTGTGCTGGCCAGGATTTCTGGGAGTTGCAGTCCAAGAACATCTGGGGACCCAACTTTGAGAACCACTGTTCTTAGAAATATTGATATAGAAATAGAACTGTATTATGAGGTTATTCTGAGCTTTTGGTATAAACCTCAGAGTGTGAAGCTTGTTGGTCTAGAGCAGTGGTCCCAGATGTTCTTGGACTGCAGCTCCCAGAAATCCTGACCAGCACAGCTAGTGATGAAGAGTTCTTGTTGGAGTTTTAGTCGAAGAACATCTGGGGATCCATGGTTAAGAACCACTGGTCTAGAGCAGTGGTCCCCAACCTTTACCCTCCAGATGTTCTTGGACTACAACTCCCAGAAACCTTCACCACTACCTCTGATAACTAGGATTTCTGGGTGCTGAAGTCTAAGAACACCTGGAGGCCCAACGTTGGGGACCACTGGTCTAGAGTATAGAGAAAAAAATACCAGGTTAAATGATTTTGAGGACAGAAATGTTCAACAAATGTCTTTATCAATTAAGTGTAGCTGAAATCTGATTATCCACTGGGCCATTTTGTCATAAAAGTCTTACTATATCTCAAAAACCATCAAAAGAAACGATCTCTCTCTTTTTTAGGTTGCTGAAGTCAGAAAATAAATTTTGCTGTTTTCTCTTTCATCTGGAATGAACTACTTTTGGTGTAGCACCACAAAGAAATAAATATTGTACTTGAAAAGAAAGATGGTGTAAAATCAAATATCTGTTGGAATTATCAGCTGCAATCTAGCATTAGACCAGTGAGAAAAATGAAGGGAAAGTGGCTAGTACTTCACTGAGAGACAGGTATGACTTGCTAGCTGAGGCAGAACTTTGTTTTAATAGAGACATTGTGCAAGCATGCAAGCATCTATCAACAGCGTGCTCATTCTGACAAGATAAACTGCTTGCCATCTCTGTTATCTGGACTGTTTCATAAACTTGCTCTAGGTGCCAGCCTACTGTGTTTGAGCTGTCAGCACAAGCAGCCTGGGTTTCATCTCCTTTCTGGAGGAGAGCCAAAATACATTAACAAGGTAAAATAGAAGTCTACTTTAGATCGTTGTGTGTTGCTGTTGTTCTGGGAGTCACAGTTATAGGCCTTGTGTCTCATTGCATTAGGAATGAACGGTCCAATTGTTCTTGGAGTAATAAACAGCAATTTACTTTTCTCTTCCAATGATCAGGTTGGAGCATTCCTTAAAGAAAGATTACACAGTTTGATAAAAATTACACTGTTCTCAGGACGGAATAAGAAATTGCTTCTCTCTTTTGTTCCATTTTCAGAGCAGTACATTTCCAGTCTAATTAGCAAATTATACAGATTGCAGTTAATAATGGTGATGTGTGGGGACTCCCCCAAACCAATTCATACCTCAGTAAAGAGCTCATAGATTAGGGCTGACCCACATTATACTCTTTAGCAAACATTTCAACCTGCTCTGTTCCCAGTTCCAAGACATTATCTTGTATTTCTATTTCTAGATCTTGTGGTTTTTTTAAAGTCCTACAAATGGGGCAGAAACACAAATAGCAGCAGCAAAGTAAAGAAAAATAATAAGAAAAAATGGTCGGGTGGGAACCTAACAGCCTGAAGATGAAGATTGGCACCCTGTGGCATTAAGGGCAGGAGGCAGTTGATGTTTTACAGTCCTATCTAAAAATGAAAAAAAAAACCAAAAACAGAAAGAAAAATCAGGGTGGTGGTGGTGGTGGGAGAAGAGACAGACAACAATAATTTTTCCATAAGTCCTCACACACACAGTCGTAATAGTATTAATAATTTCTTCTTCATGGTCTCTGTGAATGCACACTATAGGGCTTATTCTGCGCTTACACAAGTTTTCCAGAATATTCTAGAGTTTTAGCACGTGTTCGCCAGGATTGCCCTCCCCAGTACACATGGTCTCAATGAGCAGTGCTCCATTCGCCTTCTTTTTCTCTCTCTTCGTGAGTTCTATATAGAAAGGAAAGGGAAAGAAGAGTAGGAAACTTTCAACAAATAATCCTTTCTCTTTTGCCCTGACTTTCCCTCCTTCCCCTTCCCGCCATTTTATGGCCCCTCCAGTAGCATTTAGTAAACTAAGCTGAATGAGAGAACAAAGAAACAGAATACAGTGGTGCCTCGCTTAACAACGATAATCCATTCCAGGAAAATTGCTGTTAAGTGAAAACATCGTAAAGCAAATTTTAAAACCCCATTGAAACGCATTGAAACCCGTTCAATGCGTTCCAGTGGGGTAAAAACTCACTGTCCAGCAAAGATCCTCCATACAGCGGCTATTTTCGCTGCCTGTATAGCAAGGAATCCATCCCTAAGCACAGTGGGGAGCCATTTTAAGCACCCGGAGGCCATTTTGAAAACCCGCCGATCAGCTGTTTTTGATCGTGGAAAAGCGAATATCGGTTCCCAAATCAGGGAACCGATCATCACTAAGCGAAATTCCCCCATTTAGACGATCGCAAAAAGATCGTCGTAAAGCAGATTTGTTGTAATGCGGGACAATCGTTAAGTGAGGCACCACTGTATTCCAGAACACAAAAAGGCTGTCTGGATAGCAGCACAAGTCTTTCTCTTGACTCTACAGTTCTGAGAAGTGGCAGATAGAGCAACTAATAAGGGGTGTATGTATACTGCATAAAACACTGATTTATAGTATTGTCTGGCTATAGAGGAGCCGAAATCTGATTGCAAAATGTAGTCAGTCACACTAGAATACTGTATGTCCATTGAATCATTGGGAGAGTCAACTTCTCTGTAAATTCAGTTGATTCAAATGGGCCTACTCTAGTTGCAGCTTATTAGGCTAAAGCAAGTTGCAACTAGAATAGGCCCGTTTCATTCAGCAGGTTATGGAGAAGCTGACTCACCAGATCCTCACTGATTCTGTGGACCTATTCTATCTAGTGCAATTTACTACACTAAGCTACAGAATTTCAGCCAGTGTGTGTTGGCTTAGGATACAAACTTAAACACAACTTGGTGTGTGTGTGCATGTGTGCGCCCATATATATATATACACTCGTATATGCCCATAAAATTCTTATTGAAATGAGTGCATCCCGTAGTAATAAAGCTTCTTTTCCTGGCAAACTATTGTTAAAATTATTTGTGAGAAAAAAATTATGTTATGTTAAGTCACCTTGGTCCAGTTATCTGGGATAATTCCTACCAATGAGTTTTTAATATCATTGATTACAAAGTGGCTCTTTCAAATTCTGCAATTCATGCATAGGTCTTTTGGGTCCTTCTTACACTGACAGACCAGTCTTGTCAGTGGAGAAACGTGAGGAGGTCAGCTGGAAGAACCATCATTTCTATTGTCATGTCAGTTCATGCCAACAGGATGAAATATTATTTGTGTGGCTTTTGGGGGGAGCAGTCAGACAATAGTTTGTTCCCCCCCCCCTTATTCCCCTTGCTTTGAGTGCGAGGAAATGAAGTTGTGCCAGCTTCAGGACTGGTAGATACAGTGCTTACCCTTCTGGGTTGTATCAGGGCATAGTAGGGCTTTGTAGCGTATATGACCATAGCATCATCTGGAGTGCCTTCCTTTTTTTCTCTTATGTCAGAAGGATACTGATTAAAGACCCTCTATACCCTGTATCAGGCAAAGCTTGCAAAATAAAATCTGCTTGGCCAAAGTCCCAACTTTCTTCCCACTCTTGAAAACAGATATTTTAAAAATCCTTTTCAGGATCGTAGGGTTGCAAGCCTTAACACATTTTTAAAATTTTATTTAATCTTTCAGGAATGGCATATTGTTGAAAAAGTACTTCATATTTTGCTTCTCACAAAATGTTATTGAAAAATACCTCCTTTCAGTCCTAAAGTCATATCTCACATTTTTCGATTAAAGTCCAACACAGAATTTTTGCTGTTGCAGTGCTGGCATTCTTAGAGGGGAACATCCCACCACTCCTAAACAATGCAAAAGGCTCCTCTGAAGAGCTGAGGAGTCCTCCAGAGCTAGTTCGCTGGGATGATCCAGTATGCTAGTGCTGCATTGCATTTAGGCCCCTTACTCCATTGTAACTTGAAAAACTCAATTGATTTAGATTTGAAGATGTCTTGCATAGCTGAGAACATATCTTTTTTATATATCTTTAACAGAAATATTTACCCTGGCATATTTTAGATTCTGCTTTTTTAAAAAAAGTCTGTTTAATCAGACATAAAACAACTAACATGTTAACCTGCAAGAGTAGATTAGTTTATCCCATGCCCCATCTTGTAACCACTACATCATACTAGCAGTCAGGATACTTAGAGTAGTAATTGTATTTTTCTTATCTTTTTTAATGCATGTGCACGGTGAATTGGAATTTTGTAAGTACAGAATCATAGATGGTAATTACGCAGGCTTGAGTTGCTTGGTATAATTTTGCAAATAAAGTGCAAGTCGGATTACAGCTATAAAGCTAGATTACTTCCTGAATCTGTTTTGTCTGATATTCAGTTATAGATGGTCAGTTTAGAAATAGCTGTGGTTTGATTGTGGTCTTGTTAAATGGGTTGTGGACAGAAAAAAACTATTCAAAATGCCCTTACAGTTTTCTTTTTGTTTGCAGAGACTTGAGTCATAACCATTTGTTGTCTTCTAACTGGAGCATTGATTCACCAGGACAAATGCTACAAGATGTGTGAGTCATTCTACTACCTAAGGAATTGTATGAGGGCCAGTAATGTAATATGAAGCAATAGATGATTCCTCTGAAACAATTCAGTAGCTAATTAGGAAAGCAGAAATTGAAAAAGCTGAGGAAAGATGTTGGGAAGAGAAGTAAACCAGAAACTGAGTTGCTAGAAGTGAGAGAGAAACACAACAAGAAATGTGTGGTAGGTTTTTATTTTGATAGCAACATGAATTAATGTGCACAATCTTTGACAGCAATCTGCAGGCTTCTAAGTGTTATATGTCTGTATGGTGAAGGTTGGCAATGTATAATTCATAAGCTACAGCAGAATCTTGCATAGGCATAGTCAAAAATAAACCTTACTGTGTTCAACAGGCTCATTGACCTATGAATATACAGAAGATTACAACCATACAGTGCCTTAGGGATTTTCTATATTTTTTTAATTCACAGTTTAATTAACAAAAATTAAGCAACAGAATTCTCAATCCTTTTATATATTAAAACATATATTAAAGGATTAAGATTTTTTTGCTTAATTTTTGTTAATTAAACTGCAGAAGTAGAGGTCACAAAATGATCCTCAGTTTATTTAGATTTTCAGGTGCCACAATATAAGTTGTTCCCATCTGCCTATATGCCCAGGTTTCTCCAGAAAAGTCATCTCACTTAATCCTCAGATTCTTTATGTGAGCATGATAATTTTGCTATTCAATGATATGGTATTTTACAATCAGGAAAACAAATTTTCAAATATCTCTAGTTCATTCTTCCTTGTTAAATATTCCACTGGGCCAGGAAGGTGTTCTTAATTTAACTAAAGCATTGCTTTGAATCTCCAAGATTTTCAGACTTCTGTTATGCAGTTCACATAGAGGAGTATGCCAGCTTTGGATCTTTCAGGTTTCACACTAAACTGAAATGTTTATAAAAGATATATTCAAGTATGAGAAGTGCTTACATCTGTATTGACCTTATCATTTTTCAAATGCACTGAAGGAATCTCTCTTTTAGGAGGATGAACTACAATGAACTGACTGACATTCCCTACTTCAGTGAATTGACTTCTAATATTACAGTGCTTTCATTGTAAGTCACTATTCATAGTTTGATAAGACTTCTTATTGAGCTTTGATTATGCAAGGAGACATTTCTCATGGAGAACATCTTGTTAGAGGAAACTGAATCATGTAGTAGTGCTTGCAAACATAAGTTTTCATTTAAGGTATTAACTGTCTCTAGCTGTGCTGAAAAGGATCAGTTAAAGCACTATAGAGACTACAGTCCTTCTAAACTACCTATCTCATGGTTATAGTTCATGTTTCATTTTGCTCTCTGACCAGGCAGTTGGGTATTTAAACCATACTTCACTTGTGCAAATATGTACTGGAACCATAATTTCCAAAAGCTAACTATTCTTATATCTTTAATAATTTGCAATAATGTTAACCTGTCATAAATTGTGGTGATAGAATGGAATTCAGCTTTCAACTAGTTGTTGAATGCAGAGTTTTACAGGAAGAAGGGTAAACAGCTTCAGTGTGTTGTGCTAGAATCATTTTTAATAAATAGTTCACAATGTAAACAAACTGCAGAGGTGGTTTACTAATGGCCCTTATGGTAGTTCTCATTTTCTTTTTAGAGTGCACAATACAATTCCAGAGATTGTCCCTGAACAACTTCAGCTTTACATATCCTTGGAGAACCTTGACCTCAGCTCTAACCTCATATCTGAAATCAAAGTATCTTCATTCCCACGGATGCAGCTGAAGTATCTGTAAGTACCAGGTGTTTAACTTGTGATGTAGAAAATGCATACATTCACATCTTTGTAGCCGTCTTCGGGTCCCCCCCCCCCAAAGATGGAAAAGGATGTGAAAGTTGGCATAGAAAGCAGTGTATCAGTGCTTCTTTATCTCTTCTTCATTGTATTTGGAAGAAGTCATGTGATCCTTTAAACAGGGTAATACATCTCTTCTTACTCTAATGTGAGGGTGGTCCTGAAATGTAATAGTTTTGCAGTCCAGAGTCTTGGAACAGGGATGTTTTGGACTGGGAAAAAAGAATTATCTTTACTATTTTAAAAAATGACCAATGGGAGGCTATAATAGAGATTTATAAAATTTCACATAATGTGGCAGGTGGATAGATTGAAATATTTTCCTATGTCCTGTAAGAACTTTGGAGGGAGTTCCTTAAATTGATTCCTATTAGAAACAGGATTCACGTGATAGATAATAAGAGATTGAGAGGTGGCATCCCTCAAGATAACAGCTGTTGGAATGGTGTAAGCAGTTGAGGAGGGCCATTGGGATTATTGCCTTTGTGCTCTGTGCTAGACTTGATCTTCTGTCAGTCATTGCTGGAATTAGGATACTTGACTTAGATAGTTGTTAATACTGGTGGAGCTTTGGCATTGTAATCATTGAGTGCATTGAGACAGCACAGTGAACTGTAGTGAGAAATTAACATATCTAGTTTCCTACCATGCTCTCTCCTTCCTTCTCCTCCCATGAGTAGGAGTTCAAAGGCTTGTCCTTCTACAGTTGCAATTAGTTAAGCATTCCTTATCATATCCGAATTGAGAACTATAATTAACATTCATTATAGTTAGTGGTATCTTCTCTGCTAGGAATTAATTTGCTTTATTTAAAAATGGGTCCCTGGTCTATAAAACTGGTTTATAAAATTGCTACACAATCAGATTTATTCCAAAGTGCTACAAAATTACATGATATTGGAAACAGAGAGCTTTTTTTGTATATCAGGAAAAAAGAGGCAAATGAATATGGTAAAAATTATGTTTTTTATTTTTCATATACAAAATATAAACGGTATGTAAACGTACATAAACTACACATGTTTCCTAAACATTTTCATAGTATGGGTTATTCACATAAGACTCATCAGTTGCAGTTATTCATAAAAACGCCTAGGTTGAATGGCATACTGAAAATTATTCTCAGAATATATTATTAGTTATGGTTTCACCAAAAGAGGCGGAACAAGTGATTTGAATGCTCTCAGAGCAGTCTGCAAGGTTGGTAAACTCTGGCCATCTTCCCTGCTGCCTAGTTATATTAGATGGATAGTGAGAGGGCAATATAGATCATTGGTTTTTTGCAGAGATGAAATCATCTAGTAGTTCCTACTGATCCTCATGCATTAAGCTGAAATCGTTCTTTTCCTGCTGGCATTAGCTGTAGAATAGCAGCCTCAGTGGGTATTGCAGGCAGACATTTGCATCACACATTTCCCCCAGTTCCTCATGCCAGTCATTCCTAGATCTTTAAGACTTCACTTCCCACTGAGTTATTGGAGGAAAGGAAATATTTCTGTGCAAATGCACAATATGCAACCCTCAGGACATAAACCAAGCCAACTTCAGAGACCTCCTTTTAGAATTGCCTTGTTTAAAGTGTGTGTGATCCTGGGACTCCTCATGACTTGCTCATCCATAGTTTAGCATGTTGCCAGCCTGTTGCCATTGTGGTAACATTCGAAAAAAGAAACCATTTTTGTCTTTAACCCTACTGTGTTCCACTCAAGGAACACAGTAGGGTTATAGCTCATGTTTGGCTTACCTTTTCAGTCATTCAAGCTGTTTATAATATCATGGTGTCTGTTGACAGTGGTGGATATCAGCTGTTTAAAGGGCACATAAGCCAGGGATATGAGACATACCTTATTGCCTAATTGTATCTGATTAAATCTTACAGCCATTAGGGATCAGTGAAACACCCTATGATAAATTTTCTCCAGTATGAAACTGAGCTACTTTGAGGCAAGGAAAAGAACCACCGAACCAATATATAATTGACTACTTTGAAATTCTTGTATAATTTGTCAGGCATGATTTCTCTTGTGAAGGGTTTATTTTGTTTTTTAACTTGTGCTCTTACAGGAATCTCAGCAATAATCGAATAACTACTCTGGAAGCAGGCTGTTTTGATAACTTATCCAGCTCCCTGATAGTACTGAAACTAAACAGAAACAGGATAAACATGATTCCACTGAAGACTTTCAGGCTGCCTCATGTACAATATTTGTAAGTGATTATGCCCCACCAGTTTGAAACCTTTATGCTGACTGACTCAATCACTGCCATAATTTCAAGCCAGAAAAAAAAGTATTTTATTTGAAGATAAAAGATCTTTAAAGTTAATGGTCAGAATCCTGCTGCAACCTGGGCACTCTATCCATAGTGTTTGGTGATTTCTGGTTTGCTCTTTTTCTAGCTTGGAAATTGTATCAACAAAACAAGTGAGGCTTACCTCCTTGCACTTTCAGCACTTGCATCATGGCAGTGGAGTCATCCATGCCATTGCGTGACAGATAATTGCTCCTGGCGTTACAGGTTTGCAACATGCCTGGAATGGTTGGAAAGGGTTAAAAACCTGAGAAAGATTATCTGAGATATCAGCAGTGATGCTCATGATGACTCTGAAGTATTAGGCAATAATGCTCATTGAAGGAATTTTATATTAGCAGTAGAAAGTTTCCTCTCTGTTTTGGTTCATTAGGCCATGTGGTTGAGTGAAGCAGGCTGATAGTGAGGACTGTGATTGTAATAAAATGGTTTTCGGATAGACATGTGATGGACATTTTTGATTGTTTAATGATCATTTGCTCCTCAGAATGCTTTTGGTCCACATAGGATTTTCTTCTTTCTTTAAAGTCAGCCTGGTATTTGCATTTTAAAGGCTTGCAAGCATTGTAGGATATTTTATTTATTTATTTATTTATTTATTAAATTTATATCCCGCCTTTCTAGACCAGGTCTACTCGGGGCAGCTATGTAATTCTTCCTGTGATTGGGAAACTAACTGGACACATCCCTGGTACATGAACAGAACAGATGAGGCAGTGGAGTGGACAGATTTTATTTTATTTTATTTATTTATTAAATTTATATCCCGCCTTTCTAGACCAGGTCTACTCGGGGCAGCTATGTAATTCTTCCTGTGATTGGGAAACTAACTGGACACATCCCTGGTACATGAACAGAACAGATGAGGCAGTGGAGTGGACAGATTTTATCTCAAGAGGAGTTAGGTTTAATTACCTATTAAGGCAAAGAGTGAAACATATTAAAAGGGAAAATACAAGGTAAATGCCGGGGACAGGTTAATGAAATATGCAAGTGTGACGGATGCCCCACGTCACGTCTGTCACTCAGAGCTGGAGCTCATTTGCATAAGCCTATGAGAGGACAGGAGGGATTGAGGCAGAGCTTCAGTTAACACAGTTAGAGAGGGAGAGAGAAGAGAAGGAGAGAGGTTTGCAAAGAGAGAGAGAGAGAGAGATTCAGAGAAAGCCTGAGAGCTGTAACTAACAAAGATAAACTTAAAGTGAATAAATAAAACCAGGAGGTGATCGAAGATGTGGCAGAATATATGAGATTTCAATGATTTTTATTCCATGAAATGAATAAAGAACATTTGTGATTCTGAATTACCCTAATACCCTTTAATAAACAAGTTCTGTTGTTGGCAGCCAGTGTCAAACTAAAGTCCTTTACAGTGTGGATAAAGAAATCCACTGGTGGCAGCGAAAGAAAGAGAGAACGTCACCAGCGTGAGCTGTTTGGGTTGAGATAATAAACATGGGCATGGGTGAACGTAACAGCAAGTATTTGGAGTAGCCAATCAGCGTAAAACAATCAAAAATATTTCACATATGTCTGTTTGAAAATTGTTCCCGTTACATTCACAGCCAAGTTGCTCAATGGGGTTTATGTTGAACATTGTCCTTGCTTTCAGCCAGCTCCATCCAGCTGCATGGTTGCTTGAAACAAGAGATACATAGAGAAAGGAACCTTTCCACTCATCATTTAAAAATCCCTCAACAAGCATCATTGGCTAGTACCTGCAAGTCAGCAGCAGTATCACCACCTTTCTAACCATTCCAGGCATATTGTAAGCCTATAATCTGAAAAAGAATGCCTTTTTGTTGATGACATTTCACAATAGTATGGCAGAAGCTGTTGCCATGACAGCTCATGCAGCAAGATTGTGGCCCCCTACCTAACAGGATAAGTGAGGGATTTTTGTTACGCCAATTAGATTTTCACATGCAAGGAGCAATGCTTTGACTACATATATTAGAAGAAACATTTCCATGCTCAGGTATGTTTCCTGGATAAGCTGTACTCATTTTTGAAAAATGAAGACCCCTTTAAAACAAAGGACTTAAAGGATTTTCATTTAAGAATGTCCTGCATTATCTGTTTTATAGCAATGGCAGTATTGCTTAGAAGAATAGTAACAAAATTTTGGAGAAATAGCTTTGTTCTTTGTTTTTATTGCAGCAAATATAGCACACAACTTTAGTATCTTTATGAGTAAAACATTGATGATGTCATAAATTTTCAATGAATAGCATTCACGTACGCCATAAGAAATGTGTTGTTCTTGAAATGGTGCAAGCTAACATAACTAGTATACAAATGCTTTATTGCTTTGTAGCTCATCAGGTTATACGCAAGAACGTAGATTAAACCAATCTTAAAAATAGTATTTGCCACCTCATGCAATAAACAAGGATTAAAAGTATATGATAAAATAATAGTAATAAAATAATATAATAATTCCCAGGAAATGAATCAAGATATGAGATTAACTTGAAGAACTTGTGAAGCAAGCAATAAGTTCCATCTTTCCATGGCTTGTTTAATGAATTTAGTGGTCCTGTAGGATATGTAGGATATATATCCTAGGATATATACCTGTGCCAGGTAGCAGGAATAGAACTGTGCATAAAGGGGAAGTGTTCTTGATCCCAGTTTTTAAGGCTTTAAGATATTAGTCATTCAGATCTGCATATAGAGGGCATTCTGTTAGAAAGTGTACCATATCCTCAATTTCTGATCATCCTGCTGGGCAGTGTCTGCCTGTACCATGTTCCATGTCCCTGAATCTCTTTCAGCTGTAACGAGTTCAGTCTGCACTTAGTTAACCGTTGTCTCAGCTTGTGTTTGCTAATAAGGGACAAATATGGGGGCAACTTTACAAAAGGCAAGAAAATACAGTGGTGCCTCGCTTAACGACAATTCGTTCCAGTGAAATCGCTGTAGAGCAAAAACGTAAAGTGAAAATAAAAAACCCATTGAAACGCATTAAAACCCGGTTAATGCGTACCAGTGAGCTAAAAACTCACCGTCCAGTGAAGATTCTCCATACGGCGGCCATTTTCAGTGCTTGTATATTGAGGAATCCATCCCTAAGCACAGCAGGGAGCCATTTTGAGCACCCGGCAGCCATTTTGAAAACCCGACGATCAGGGAACTGGTCTTCGCAAAGCGAAAAAACCATATTTAAAACATCGTTTTGCAATTGCAATCGCGAAAACATCGTCATGAAGCAGATTCGTCATAATGCGGGGTAATCGTTAAGCGGGGTATGACTGTACTTAACCAGCAGGGGAGATACTTTGGTCATAACTAGTATAAATACAACATTTAATCATGTACATTCCTTAATTGAGCAATGAAATCTCTTAGCTAAATTTGCATGTGTGTAGAAATGATAAAAGAGGGATACTTCATGTTTAGATGTACACATTTAACCTGAAAATGCTGTGTTAATAAGTACTGGAATCACAAGAAGCATGGAAGATGAAGTTATCTTTCCTCTTCTACTGCAACAAAAATGGTCTTCCAAAGCATCTGTTTGCATTGAGAGGAAATTTTTATTAGTCAGGAGATATATGTTGCATATTCTTGCAACACATTTCTATTTCTCCAGAGTATATAGTCCTTTAATAACAGTTGCACCTGTTGTTTGTTTGGTGTGACTGCTAAATGTATATTGTTCATACTAGATCAATATCTTTTGGTTACAAAAAGAAAGATAAAGGTTATGCTTGACGTCAACTAACTGATGTTAATGTTAATTATCTTATTATTTAGGGAACTTAAACGCAACCGAATTAAAGTAATAGATAGCCTTACCTTCCAAGGCTTAGACTCCTTGAAGTCATTAAAAATGCAGCGCAATGGGATTAATAGACTAATGGATGGTGCTTTCTTTGGATTGGATAATATGGAAGAACTGTAAGTACATCATCATTTAATTTCTTTTCATTAGAGAGCCTTGATAAAACAGTTCTGTAGGGACTGATGAAATTGAGTTGTTTGGGGAATGCTGCTATGTTTTCTACCCATTGCTTATCAACTATTATGTCTTCATGTCATACTTAGAACTCAGCAGAGCAGAGCCTTACTACTCTGGCATAAAAAAAGAGATTAATTTGAAAGTCAGTAAGGAAAGAGTTCTAGTCCCGTACTGTTTTTCATTGTTTCCCCATAGAGAGGGACAATCCCCCGTAGAGAAGGACAATCTTCCCCATAGAGAGGGACAATCTATTATACTTGGATTGTCTCTATAGGATCAAGAGCCCTGATTTTTCCAGATCTTCAGTGGTATAGAAGCTTCACATGTAACAGAACCATTCCTCTTCAGACACTTGTCTTCCATGTGGGGACAGCAACAGATGTGGGGGGGAGGTTTAGGACTAAAACACTCTCTCTGGTTTACTTTCAGATTAGTCCCTAATCTCTGTACTGGCATTATGTAGCAGAATTAAAAAATCTTAGATCCCTACAATTAACTACAGTAAGCTTTGTGGCCCTAGCATCCTTCTGTTGTAAAAAGAACACTCCTAGTCCCACCAATTCCATATATATGGTAAATGCGTAGGAGAATTGTGAGTAGGACTGAACTGCCAGCCCTCCCCCATTGCCGAGAGTTTTATCCACAACCACTCACAACTAGCTTCCACTGAATCCTGTTGGTTTACTTTGAAATAAGTATGTATAGCATAGCAACCTTAATTGTGATCTTTCTGCTGGGTTCAGTAAACGGCTTTATTGCCATCTCAATTAAATTATTTGGAAATTATGTTACTTGCTCATAGACTCAGAGCTTGTATTATGTAATCACACGTCGAAATGCAGAATGCTGACAAGGTGGAGACAGATTTCCAGTTTCAACTATCCATGTTTTTCCTTTAGAAAAGTATGTAATAATATGGACTTCGAGTTCTGTTCTATAAGCCTTAGACAGCTGTTTCAGACTCTCTGTAGCAGAAAACCTAGAATGGTTTCCACCCATGAGGAGCTCCATCTTGGGATATAACATAAACGGCACATCCACAGAACTCTGAACAAAGTAACAGATGATTTCATTTTTATTCTGTAGCCTTTGGGGGATATGATTTTGAAATAGTGGAGCTTTGCAATGTTGCTTGGGATGTTATAAAGAGTACCTGCATCACTACTGTTCTACTGAGTTTAGTATTTGTAAATTCTGTTTCATTCATCCTCCCCATAAAGTGCTTTGTAAAGTATAGAATTCATTGAGACGGTTTATAACATTCATAACCTATGTAACATTTCTTGTTGTTCCTACAGAGAACTGGAACAGAACAATCTGACAGAAGTCAACAAGGGTTGGCTGTATGGTTTGAGGATGTTACAACAGCTTTATGTCAGTCAGAATGCCATTAACAGGATTGGACCTGATGCATGGGAATTCTGCCAAAGGCTTTCTGAACTGTGAGTTCTAGAACTTGTTTCAATGAGCTTTTCCATGTTAATTGGAGAAAAATCAGTAGTAAAAATAACTTTCCCCGGAGAAAAGTAGCTTAATTTTTTAAAATAATTTTAAAATAAAATTATTCTTATTCTATGCATTATGTTTTGTTTCAGAGATCTGTCTTACAATCTACTGACTCGCCTAGATGAGTTTGCTTTTATTGGACTGAATTTATTGGAGAGACTGAATTTGAGTGATAACAGAGTCAGTCACATCGCTGACGGTGTCTTTAAGGGACTTTCGAATCTTCAGACTTTGTAAGTGCATGTAATTCAGAGAATAATATAGCATTTTTAAGTAATTGAAAGTACTAGAAGATAATCCTCTTCTGGAAGATTTCATTGTGTTATTAAGAACACCAAAAAGAGGTCTCTGCCCCAATTATATAAAATGAAAGGTCTCTACTAATCCATAAATTGTGTAAACGTAAGGGATTAGCTCATTGTAAGACAAAATTAAGGAATATTGCTGCTGCAAAGTAGCAGTTGTGCTTCAAGACAGTCAGTTCATAATTCAATAAGCATTTAGTATCTTCCTTCAAGAAAAAAAACTTTTTTAGGGTACATGATTGTCGCAGTAGTCAAAGTTTCCTATGAAATGTTGTCTCTTTTCCCCATGCTCTAGTTCCCATTAAAAGAGCAATTGCAGTTTAAAATGCTGCATGAAATACTGTTCTTCAGTACTACACACCACACCTTGGATAGGGAATATCACTTTCCTGATTAGTGCAATTCTTGGAATCCCAGCTGCTACCACTGTCTTTTTAATACTGCATGAACACCCAAGAGAGCCTCTTGTGTTAATTTCTAGTTCTCCTGGCCTCAGGGTGTCTTTCTGACCCCATAGTTGGTTTGTTTATGTACAGTATGTGAATATACAGAGAGAGAGGGTGTGTGTGTGTGAGAGAGAGAGAGAGAGAGAATCTGTGTTGAGGTAGGTATGTTACCGTGCAGCATATTTACATACATATATGCACACATACATACACACATTCTTGTATAAACACAAGGATGTGTGTGTATGTATATGCCCACCTTTTAGTAGCCAAAAACTAATATAGCAACCAAGAATATAGTACAAGAACCTCTGAACATATGGCCTATATGTTCCTCCATCCTGTTCATCAGTTAATTTATTCTTTTAAACAAACATCTTCCAACATGAAGTGGCAGGAACATTTTGACTAGGACATATGTAGAAGCAGTATATTCTCAGAGGGAAGCAGAGAAGACAGGGTTACAAATTTGAAAAATAGTGCTAGTCAAGTAGACAGCATGAGGGAAGAAAGAAAAAGGTAGATTCTGTGGTAGAACACACTTTGCGCATAGAGAAGTGAAATTGAAACACAGTACTGAGCATGCCAGAGAGATTGAAATGGAACTTTTGGACAGATCAGTTGAAACCAACCTTTTCAGGCTTAAAACACTATGACAAAGAGCAGTTGATTAATGAATGGGTGTTGTTGGAATCTTGAGAGGCATCAGGCTTCTGACAAGCAGGGTCTTTTGGTCCAGGGTCAGTGGGTATTCACAAGCAATGGAATGAAGTTGTTGACAGGATTTTAGGCCTTCTTGCCTAACCAGACATGAGGACCACTCCATTGACTTACATAATAAGGTCCTGTTCTGGATTGTTCAAAATAGCTTGCTCTTGTTCCATATTTTGTAGGAGGGGTAACAACAATGGATCTGAATAGGAGATGTTCCTCCTTGTGTGTAGGCTCTACATGTGAGCAATGACTCTGGAAAAACAAGGCTTTTTCTAAATTATAGAGTGTAAATGCCAGCAGGAACCTCTTCCTACTTGTTGCTGCTTGTGTATAGAAAACAACAAGAGAGGGTAAAACTAGGCCTCTCTAACTGTTTGACAATGCTGGATGCGACAATGCTTGAACAGGGCTATTTTATTCTCTCATTTTGCAGTATGACTTTAACAGATATATATTAAATGCTCTGATGTATGCCACTAGATTGTGCCAAATTGCAGAAAATCTATATGTTCATTATGTTGTAAAAAGAATTTGAGAATTGTTGTTGTGATAAATTTATGACCTGCCATGTAAAAGAAACACACTTCTAAATCTATTACACTTGAATGAAGCATCTTCCCACCCATATCCCCAAACATGAGATTTCTGAATTGGTTTTAACATTGTTCTCTTCTGTGCTTTGGGACAGAAGTGCAATGCAGGGGTCAGACAGAAATCGCATTAGCGTGTAACAGGATTTGTGAGCTGAACCATCATTCCTCCTCTCTGAAAATCTATTCTTTCATGGTTAACAATTTTTCACCTGACCTGTATATAATCTCCTTAATATGTTAATGTTATTATAGGCTTTTCACTCCAGCAGATTAAACAATGTACTGGCAACATTTAATTCAGTTTTCAAACCTCTGCAAAAGGCTCCCCAAGTCTGTGTTAAATGGTTTACTGCGTCCCCCAACGACTAACAGAGTAGGGAAAGAGAACTGCTTCAAAGCTATAGCTGTGCACAACTTCTACAATCTGTGTAAAGTTTATCATTTAGAAACAGCAAGTTTCACTTTAAGGTCTTTGCCACAGAGGAGTTTATTATCCCAGTATGATGAAACAGTAGCTTTACTAGTGAGATTTTATTTTTAAAATGAACCATAAAAATGACAAATCCTATAGAGGGAAAGGAGGAGCTGCCTGATGTCATTATCTCTGTGTTATTTTTTTTTAAATCTCAGGCACGTTGGTTGTTATACGTGGTATTTTTTTATTTTTTCCAGAGACCTGAGGAATAATGAGATCTCCTGGGCCATAGAAGATTCCGATGAAGTATTTGTGGGACTTGACCGACTCAATAAATTGTAAGCCTTATAAGCCTTGTCTGTCGGAATAGAAGTCACAATGTATGTGACAACAGAAGCCGCAGTATAAGTAAAGCTATACTATCTGTGACAATCTGTATTTACACAACATTGTTAGTAACATTTCACCAGTTCAGTGAGAAATATTTTCAGTTAAATAAAATGTTGACTCTTTCCTTCTCCAAGATGGATTTCTGTACAGTCTTATAAAAAGTATTGTGCTTGTGGTAAAAAGCCAAAACAATTCACACCCTATGAGAAATGGAAGTAGGGGTTTATTTATTAAAATTAATCAAAAGATCAAATTATCTAAGGACAGGCCAGTCAATAAAACAACATAAAACAATGAACAGATTAAGACAGTTTGAAATATCTCAGAGCAGTGTAAAACAATTGAAAACCATACAAGCAGGGAAAGGCTCCTCAGCCCTGCTTTACCATGTGACAGGAAGCAGTTGGATAATTTGTACTTAAGAAGACATGTTTCTGCGGGGGAATGTGTAAGAAGGAAAGCATTTTGTTGCACTGCCGCTCAAGCAGACCCAGCGAGGACTCTTGATTTGTAATCATCATATTCCTTCCTAATTCTAGCCGTGCAGCTTATCAGTTGCCTGCCACCAGATATATGTGTGGATTGCATTTACATGGGTTGATTCTCTTCTGGCCCTTATTCCTATGCTTTGGTTGGTGACACACACGATCTTCCCCCCTCTGCCTTTATGATGTCAAACAGTGAAGATGGTTGGAAGTATACTAGAAAAGTGCTTTTGTTGAAATCGAACAGCCCCAACCCTTGAACGCTCATTAACTAGATTTCCTGTTTCTGTCAGCTGAGTGAAAACTTACTTGATTTGCTTCAGTGTTCCAATTTTATTTGGGCTGTGTTTTAGGATTCTGCAAGGAAACCAAATTAAGTCAATCACAAAGCGAGTTTTTGCTGGTCTTCAAGCTCTTGAATACCTGTAAGTCTGTTTCATTGTCATTTTCTGTCACTTATGCTACTTCTTCAGATATACAATTGCCTTGGTGTTAGAGATACAGTGAGGTAAATATGTGCGTTATTTAATATTACAGAGATCTGAGCAACAATGCAATTATGTCAATTCAAGAAAGTGCCTTTTCCCAGCCTCTTAAAGAACTGTAAGTATCTAGTTTGTTTTCATGGAGATATTATTAAATATTTGAGTGATGATTAAAAATGTTTTAGAACTCATTTTTATACGTTTTATAATAATTGATTACAGATTTCTCTTAATTTTGTCTCTGCAATGAATTTCCTATTAAAAGGAGAGAAAAAAAAGAAAAACATTTGTTTAATATGGGTTCAAGAGAAAATTTCCATATGGCCTGATGCAATGCTTTTGTTTTTCATCATTTAAAATAAATCTCCAGAAAGGGGTGTGTGTACAGAAGTCTCCATTTCATCTTTACATTTCACATACTGGGTTTATCCATGTGTTAATGTTCCAACATCATTATTTTGAACTGATATGATTTCAGTATATCGTTGGAAAACGTCACCTGTCAAGTGCAATGGCTGGGAACTGATGTCTCGCTGGTGTCTTGTGCAAGAACATCCAAAGTTAGCTAGAGGTCAAATTCTACATGGTCAACTGTTCTCTTGCACTATAAATTGTTCCTGCTGAAATCTTAACATAGCCTCAGGACTCTGACGTGACTACTGTACTTTGTTGAGTAAAACTTTTAGAATAGTGGGATTGGATTTATATCCCTTTGCCATATATTTATATTCACATTATAGTTGATATTAAAGTCCCATGACCTACTGAACCAATAAGAGAGAGAGAGAGAGAGAGAGAGTCCTTCTACAGCAGAGTTAACAAACTCCATATATCCTCTTATATTTAATGCATATTATTTTCTCCTTCAGCTTTTCTTTGCACCTTTGTACTGCTTTCTAGTACCATTCCTGTGAGAGGTATTTTTGAAATGCTATTTAGGATAGTGACCTTGATGAAAAACAATCCTATCATCTGCCATAAGCTTCTGCGAGGAATGATAAATATGAATTTGTTTATAGGAAGATGACACTAAAGGTACTCAGAATACAGATGGGATACTTTATCAAGCAGATCAAGTATATAGTGTTGCAATGTTGGCAGACAGCAATGTGTAGGGAAAAAATCCTGTTGGATGACTCCAAATGAGTGTGTACTGTATTAAAAACTTTCTACTTCTACTTTTCAGGGCGTTGAACACTAGCAGTTTATTGTGTGACTGCCAGTTGAAATGGCTGCCATCTTGGCTTACCCAGAACAATTTGCAGGGTGCTGTTGATGTCATCTGCGCTCATCCAGAAAGGCTGGCTGGGCAGAGCCTCCGCAGCGTGAACTCTGAAGCTCTTGTCTGCGGTTTGTACTCTTAGTGACATTTAATTTTAAACATGAGGAGTGGGTATCCTTATGATTTTTGTTCTGGAAAATGGTTGTCTTTGAGAAGCTGACCTGCATATTGAATATATTGGGTTCTCATAGATTAGTCTTCGGGCTGCAATCTTGTTTAAAAAAAATAGGATATTTGTATATTAGAACATCATATGCCTGGATTAAAAGGTTAACTGGAACACTTCCTTGGGTTTATTCAGTAAGAAACATATAGATTAGCACAGCACTAGGACCAAAGGAATTTTTCCTCAGTGGGACCTGAGAGCCATTCATTCTGGATCTTCTCAGAAACATATCATAGAGGAAGATTTGATGGCACAGGCTGTGGAACTAATGAGAGGACTCTAGGTTGGATCCTTCTGCTCCCTTTCTCTCCCATACCTTAAGGAGTACTGCTACTCTGTGATCTTCTTTTCCATTTAGCAGTGCTGTTTCATTATACAGTTGTTCAAGAAGTTTTAATTTGATGAGTTTTTACAACTGCATGGAGAGAACTTTTTCAAACAATTACTGACACCCACTATGTGTGGCTTGCCAAAATAATCCAATATAAAATAAGCACGTGTTGACATCCAGGTTGTCATTGGGCAAGAAAATCAATGTTGCCAAGGCCAGCATGGGATCATTCTTGAAAGGATGTATTAGTCATACAGAAGTCAGTTGCCCAAGACTGATGCAAAGTAAGGTTTATCTATTTAAAGTTGGTTTTTCTTTTCTTAAGAATCTCTGGAAACTAGAGGCCTTAACAGCTGGTTCCCAGTGAATTTATACATTTCACACTCTATCTCTTGCTATTGCTTTCATTCTTAACACCTACAATCTGTTACATAGCTTCATACCCACACAGTGAGTTCAGTTGTGAAAACAGAGATAGCTGCTTGAGGAATTACCAAGCTGAATTAAAATTTGCACTGGTATTTATGTCAGATACCTGCTAAAAAGGAAATCCAGCTAATTCTGATCTGTTTTTCACAGATGATTTTCCCAAGCCACAGATAAGAGTACATCCTGAGACGACTGTTGCACTGAGAGGCACCAATGTCACCCTGACTTGCAAGGCAGTGAGCAGTAGTGACTTGCCCATGTCTACTACCTGGCGAAAGGACAGTGAAATACTGTATGATGCAGATGTAGAGAATTTTGTCAGATACCAGCAGCGAGATGGGGATGTTTTGGAGTATACTACTGTGCTGCATGTGTTCAATGTAAACTTCACTGATGAAGGAAAATACCAGTGTATCATCTCCAATCACTTTGGATCCAATTATTCCAACAAAGCCAAGTTGACTGTCAATGGTATGCAGCAATCTTGTTTTTATGTTCTTGTTTTTGTAGTTGTGGCTTTTTTTTTCTTTTTAGAAATAAACTAATTTAAAAGATTTTTGGAAGTGAGTTCTCAGAAACCTTTCCAATGTTCATCTGATTGTCCAGATTAAAAAAAAGTGTCCAGAAAGTCCATCTGTTTTAATCCATCGCTCTAGAGAGGAGTTGAAGAAGCAAAAACTGGGCCAGTGAGCGCAAAAACTATTGGTGGGGATCAATTAGTTTGAACGGTCCTTGAATATGCCTTCAGGTCAGCCTTAAAAGCTGGCCAAACAGCAGTGTTTTTCCACAAAACATTTTTCTGTTCAGAAATGAAAATATTTGAACCAGCTGCAGTCCTCACAAGTTCATTGAGCTAAGACTGCTTCCCACAGATAACTTCAGAACTAGTCTGTTTGTAAGAAGTAGGTTCTGCAGTTTAACTATACTGTTCAAATCAAGATTATTCAGTGTTTTAAGTAAAGGTACACCACATGTCAAATTCATGCCAGTTGCCTTGTAAATTTGACTTTTTGTAGTTGGGTTTTCTTAAATAGCTGGTGCAGAGTGGCTGGAGTGGGGGAGCTTGTGAATAGCAGATGTAGGAGACTGATGACTGGTTAGGATTGTGACTTGAGCAAGAGCTCCTGGCATCACTTGAAATACTAAAAGAATCATAGTGCCAAAGTATTATGTAAATAACATTTCTGATTAATTTAAAGTCTACATAAAGAACTGATTTGCATTACAAATCTCAATTGACTGTAAACTGGAAAAATGATAGATTGAAACCAAAGATATTGGCCAAAATCCTCTTGTTTAAACTTAGACTGCATAAAGCAGATAACATCGTCTGGCAATTAGACTATTTAATTTAAATTAATTGAAAGCTTCCTATCGCCTTGCTTTCAGATTCTGAGGCTTTCTAGCCCCCCTCCATTTGCCCTGGGGAAGCATTTGGGAGCAGCAGGATGGGGGAAGGGAGCCTTTAATAGCTGAAATTGTTGTTGGATTGCTGCTGCCGAGATTGGGGCTTCCAACAGCTTTTACTCACTTGTGTTAATTACCTGAATCATACCACATCAGTGAAGTCATTTTCACTAGGCTACTTTTTAAAACTTAGATTTGCATAAATAGAGACAGCATGCTCTCTTCATTTTAACCAGCATTAAGGGATGATAGATGGAGAGCTTTTGGGGACAAAACGTTTTCCAAGGATGCAGCAAATTGGTTCGTTTCTCCCCAGTAAATTGCTAGTCTTTCATGATGAACATCCTGTTGTGAAAAAGGGCCCACATGACGAGGACATGCAAGCTTTTCAGTTAGTTTCAAAAGGCTGAGTGGAACAGCCTTCTTTCTGTTGAGACAAAAATTGCTGTTAAGCATCATTTTAAATAAAACTGTACTAGAATCCTGATTGTTTCAAATAGAGAACCCAAAAAATAAGAAGTGAAAGGTTATACCCATTCCCAATAGAGGGAGAATAATGCCTTCTCTGTGCAATATGTGGAAACTGTACGGGATTGTTGTTTGTTTTCTAATCCTTGTCCAGAGTTGCCTTCTTTTGTGAAAACGCCTATGGATTTAACTATCCGGACTAGAGCCATGGCTAAACTTGAGTGTGCTGCAGAAGGCCACCCTCCACCTCAGATTTCCTGGCAGAAAGATGGAGGCACCGATTTCCCTGCTGCTCGTGAAAGACGCATGCATGTGATGCCTGAAGATGATGTCTTTTTCATAGCAAATGTGAAAATAGAGGACATGGGAATCTACAGTTGTATGGCACAAAATGTAGCAGGTGGTATATCAGCAAATGCTACATTGACAGTACTGGGTAAGCAAACTAATAAAGGCACTGTGTTGTTTTACTTGAACCTTCACACTTGGAACTGAAGACATCTTTGAACCTCCTAAACTTCCTTGATTGTCCAATAAGATCAGGAACATGTTTTAAGGTCACATAGGATTCGTCTCCATCTCTGTTCTTTTTGTGTAGGCAGTGGTGCCCAAATTCAAGATCCCATGCTTATCTGAACAGCTATTACTGCTAACCCAAGAAACTACTAAAGAGCAGTTTCAGTGTCATGAATGACAGGAACCCCTATGTTCAGACAACTATAGGAGGTTTCATTTTTGACATTTTCTTCCAGAGTTGAAGGGATCACACAAACTTGAGATTTGCTTATAGGAGGTTTCATTTTTGACATTTTCTTTCCTGAAGAGAGTTGAAGGGATCACACAAACATGAGATTTGCTCACATTATTTTGAGGTGGAAGGGTTGAACTAATAAACTAAAGAAATTAATTGAGTCAAATTAATGTAATTTTCAGGACTTGCTAAAGCACTCAGGTGCTTCCTTGAAGTAGTTTGAATTCAGGGCTGTGGCAGTAACTACAGCATTTAAAAGAGGAATTTACAATTTTTCCTTCCTTCTTTTGGTTTGATTTAGTATTTCCCCAGAATGTATTCCTACTCCTAAGACAAATAACTTCTGCAGCATCTGTTTTAAATATTGTTTCCTGCTGCTGACCCACTTTATTTTGAACAGTTTGAGAGATGTCTGATTTTACTTGCTCTCTCTCTCCAATGCTAAATGTCTGACTGGGGAGATGCAGTTCTGTTCTTTCATGTCTACCATGAGAAAATGTGCAGACAAACTATTATTTAATAGCTTTGACCAGAAAAATGTCATTAAAATGTTCTTGAGATTTTTTTTATGCTAGAGAGTGAAAAATAATACCAAGTACTAAATTGATATATTTCCCCATAGTTATGTTTAGGGAATCAAGAATTATTTTGGAGCTGACTGTTCGACATCCTCCTGTACTACCTTTGAAACTGAATTGTCCAAAATTAAAGAAAATACTCCCAAATAGTTAGATGCCTCTTAGAATGTGAAATACCTTATAATGTGGAAACATTCCTTCCATTTTGTATATGATTTACATCAGTATGCATGTAACCAGCAGTGTTCTCTGCACTTGGAATTATTTCCTGAAGGATCTTTACACTGGCTCTTTCTGTTTCCAGAAACACCTTCCTTTGTCAGGCCCCTGGAAGACAGGACTGTGGCCCAAGGTGAAACAGCAGTGTTGCAATGTATCGCTAGTGGTAGTCCTGCTCCTCGGCTAAACTGGACCAAAGACGATGGGCCTCTGATGGTCACAGAACGGCATTTTTTTGCTGCTGCTAATCAACTCCTCATCATTGTAGATGCTGGATTAGAGGATGCTGGGAAATACACCTGTGTTATGTCCAATACACTTGGTACAGTGCGTGGCCATATATACCTATATGTCATCTCTTCACCAAACTGTGACCCTTCCCAAGGTGGCATTGGGATTGAAGAAGATGGCTGGACGACAGTTGGCATTGTGATCATTGTTGTGGTGTGCTGTGTTGTGGGTACCTCTCTGGTTTGGGTCATTGTTATCTATCATATGAGAAGAAAAAGTGAAGACTACAGCATTACTAACACAGGTGGGGAGCCAGCAGACAAGAGTCTTTTCCAGCATTTGACTGGTGTGATTTTGTTTTGATAAATAAAATATTTTTAAAAGTTCTTTTTAAAATAAGCTAGCTAAGAAAAGTTGTGAAATGTGATGTAGTGGATAGACTGATGGAGTAGGCCATGGAAGCTTACTGGGGGTGTGGAACTGGTAAAATACTGCTTAAATATCTCACTTATTTTGAAAAGCCCTCTAAGGGCCACTGTAAGTTGGTTCCAACTTGACAGCACATACCATAACAAGAACATACAGCCCGACATGGGAAAATACATCCTTTTGCCTGGCGTCTGAGGAGGAGATAGTGCCTGTGCATCTCAGCCTTGCATAGACTTAAGCATGGCCATTCTCCTAGCTGTGTGAATAGGCATAGGAGCAAACAATAAGATATGGAAGGAATTTGCAGCAGATCAGTGAGTGAACAAGCAAGATTTGACATTTCACTGTGTATGGTGGTGCTGCAGATTTTAACTCAGGCCAGGGCACTTGGAGGAAGTATTGTCACATAATGGCAATTGGTAGAAAAGAGATGGTATGTTGCAGTGGGGAACTGTAACTCTGCCCAAGGTGGCATTGGGATTGAAGATGGCTTTTTCTACCTATAAAATATTTAATACTTCCTGTGCCTGTAAAATATGGCACTAAATAAGGCGTATCTAAATCGTTAAAGAAGAGGAGATAAAGATAAGGAATTTATGCTCTTAGTCTCATCAGGTAACGTTTCCATGAGATTACTTTGCTTGGAGATCAACTAGAGTGTCTTCATCTTGACAGACATCTGATTGCTATATAGTTTTGTTGCCAGAGCAAAATCATTGTGTTGCCATTGTTTTTTTTTCCCCAGAGGAGGTAAACTTGCCTGCTGATATTCCCAGTTACCTGTCTTCCCAAGGAACTCTGTCAGAGCCTCAGGAAGGCTATAGTAATTCAGAGGCAGGAAGCAACCAGCAGCTAATGCCTCCCTCCAGTGGTTACATGCACAAAGGCAAAGATGGTAAGTCCTGCAGTTCCTGGGCAGAGCTTGGCAGAAGTTACATGTCTGTGACCAGTTTCTGGTGGCCTACCTAGTTCTTAATATAGCACAACAAAACTTAATTCTTTAAAAAGAATGCATGCTCAGTGTTGAATGAAATCAAGTGTTGATAGATCTTGAGTTTTGACTAGTGCTTTCTAATTTTAAAAGATACTTGTGGTCGCACAGGTGTTATAGTGGCAAATAAAGCACACTACACAAGACTGGTCACTCCATGTTTTCTCTAGGCAAGCCCTTAAACAAACAAAACTGAACACAACCACTAACCTATTTTTACAGTGTGGTGTAATTATGTGTGGAATGTGAAGCTTTGGCACTTTTGAAAAATTAAATTCCAGCATATGTGTCACCTCTAATAATACTTACCTTTATGTAAGCTTGAGGTGTGTACTGTTCTAGAATTCCAATACAGATTATGATAAATGTTATACTCAAAAGATACTTGCTCTGCCTTTTCTACCTATTAGAGAAGGTTTCTATACATTATTATATGAATGGAACCATCAGATCTGCCTGACGTGGTTTGGCTTAGAGTTTATCAGCTGTCTGTGCTAAGTTCTCATTGGCGGCTTTGGTTTTTTAAGAAGGAGTTTCCTTTCACCTTCTGATAAAGTTTGTTTTATTTTTTTGTATGTCAGCACACCCTGGGGCTTCCCCAATATCCAGTACCTCCTTGTGGCTTGCTGGGTTGACAACAGTCCTGCTGGCACTCACCTGAGTTTACTGTTAGATAACATGATATTGTATAGCAGACTAATAATGAAAGAGGACATTGAATCCACCTGCTCAGTCTCAGAAAGTCACCTTTGAAAATAGAAGGACTCAAACTGTGAATATCAAGAGGTTTTAAATCTTTCATTCCCTTAAAGACTGGCATTGTTCTGTAATCACAAAGATGGGAAAGAATCATTGTTCCCACTGGTCACAGCTATGTTACTTGTCTCCTTTTTCTTCTTCTTTCACTGTCTTTCTTCTTCCTCCCTTTCATTTCCCGGCTAGTTAAGAAAAGAAGAATCCTGCTGTGTCAGGCTCAGGGTTTCATCCAGTCCAGCTGTCACTTGCACACAATAGCCACCCAGATGCCTTTGAGGAGCAAGACTATGAAGGCAACAGCCTTCCTCATCTCCCAGCTTATACAGAACTTTAACAATCATTGAAAGGAGCTTGAAGTTAGTCCAGAAGCATACTGGCTGCCAGTTCCATTGTTAGAGCATTATGTGCAAAAAAGCCATGTGGTTAAAATTAACTGGTTAACTGCAGCTATGTGTTGGACTGCAAGCGAAATACAACTTTTAAATTCCTCCAGTTATTATCTGATAGAATGCATTACAGTACTATAATATAGTTCCCCAGACATGTATGATAGTGGCTAGATGCTTTTTATTTTATTTTATTTCACTTGTCTAGAGGTGCGGGGTAGAAATTGAATAAATAAATAAATAAAATAAATAAATAAATATTTGTCCAGAGAGAAGGAAAAGCTGCAGAATTAGGCAAAGATAAAAAGGTAGTACTATTTAAAAGCAATGGCAAGTCCGTATGCACACTTCCCAAACTGTGTATCTGGCTCTTAAGAGGAAAGTGATATCTGATACAGAATAGGTAAGATGCCTGTATCTTGGTTTGAAGGCCCCCATCAATATTTATTTTTCCTGGAGTAAGGTACTGTGTATCTGCTGTCTATTATGATACTTACACATTTTGCATACATTATCTTCATTGTCTTCATCATCTTATCCTCTTCATTCTGAAATCACTATCAGACATTTTGTCTGAGAGACAGTTTGTATATCCCCCGTGCTATGGACACTTCCACAATGCTTCTTGACAGAACTGTTTCTCCTAAATTTCCTACCTTAGTGAATCTTACTGGGCTCCTGTCCTCTCCTGTATATATGGTGATAATAACCAGTAATAGCTACATTCCATTCTGTCTTCCCACTCGTACAGATTTTTGTTATTCTTTCATCATACTGAATACTTAGTTTCTTAGTTTCTGCCCTATCTTGGCTTAGAGGGTTCCTTATGCATGCAGTTATCACTAAGCTTAAATAATTAGCATCGATTTTTGCATACTTCTTTCCAGCCTCTGTCCAGTGTTGGAAACATTTGTACCATTAGCTCCAAAAGGAAGAGTCATTCCAAATGAGATACTCTTTGTTTCTTTAAGCTTTCCTTTAGAAGTCCATTTTAAAGCTGTTTTGTGACTTTTTTATGTTAACCATAGTAGTTCTGTATATTTTCAAACAGTAATTTTCAGTACAAAACTTGTATGCATGTAGAAAGTGAAATATTCCCTGAAACCTTGTAATGCTTTTTTTTACAATGACACTTGACTGGTATTCCAGCCATCTCAACCATGCTTAATTGCTTTCTCTTCTTTAGGACACTTATCCTATTTAACTCAGGTTCATGCTGTCAGGAAGTTAATGCAGAAAGGAGGACAGGAAGCTCTCAGTCAGAATTTATCTGGGATTTGAGCAGTGCTTAAAACAACACTTTGCCCATCCCATGCCAAAAAGAAAAAGTCTCTTTCCACCACAGCTCCACCATCATGGTCTTTTTTTAAAAAATATTTATTTATTGCACTTGTGTGCAAATTCAGCTTTATCCTAAATATTTCCCAATGCTTAAGTCTAAAATCTTTCCTTCCAGCTCTAGCATCTCACCTGTGTTTTCAGGCCCCATAGCTTTATACCAGCCTTGTGTGCAACCGCATTTATTAGAGTAATACTGTCAACATCTAACCTAGTAATCTAAACGTGGTCTTCAGGATCTCACAAGTGTTATTTTGTATTGCCCCTGATACTAGTGTGTGCTACGTCTATTGACTCTTTATCGGAATAATAAACCAGTCCAAAGAGTAAGACGGCCAATGCACTTTGCACTAACCTATCTTTCCATGCCTGGAATTATTAAAGCCAGAGACCTATTAGTATCAGCAAGCATGGATAGACCATTCATTGTCCAAGGATTGTATGCTATTTTATGTGCTGGTCAAGCACTTGGTCATGCCCTACTTGCTCAGACAGTTTACTGCTTGGTTACATGATAAAAAAATGCAAAACCCATTTATGTGGTTGTCCTTATGGGCAGAGTAAGATCCAACAGGATTCTAATCTAATGGCCCCCATTCTGATATTACTCTCCAAAGTTGCAAATAAGGTCTTCTGAAAGCAAGTAGTTGTTTCCTTCTCCCTTAATGGTTATGCCTTCTTGTTCCAAGATTGCTCTTCTGTATAATATGAGTGAAACTACTATAATCATCGGTGCATAACCACAGTGTTACCTTCTGAAAGTCTCATATTCACACCTTTCTGTTAGTTTCTCATAGTTATTTTCAAGAGAACAAATTAAGGAACTAGAACAATGGTTCCCAACCTTTGGAAACCCAGGTGTTCTTGGACTGCAACTCCAGAAGCCTTCTCTACTAGCTATGCTGGCCAAGGTTTCTGGGAGTTGTAGTCCAAGAACACCTGGGTTACTCAAAGTTGGGAACTACTAAACTGAAAGATTATCATGATGTCTCCATAACCACAGTCCAGAAGTCAAATACTTCCTGCCCACCTACTCCACCCATACTCCTTCATAAACTTTATTTTTAAGACTTTCTACTTTACCATGTATTATTACTGTTGGGGTTTTTAAAAACTTATTGTGGTAGTGCAAAAGATTCCCTGTTATCATTAACAAATCCATACAAATACCCAAGTCATCTAGCTCCTCTCTTTTTCTTAATGCCTTGTTACTGGAGATGCCCCACTTAATTGCTAGTGCTCCTTCATGCTGGAAAAGTTGTTTCCCAAACATAAGAGCATAGCTGCTAGTTCCATCTGTGACTCATAGAAGGACGGTCAGCTGTGCAATGGCAGGGGAACCTCTAATGAAGGGAGTCAAGTCACTACTCGTATATCCTTAGAAAGTACCCAGTATTTCAACAAAGGCTGCTCAAATGGGACAGACTCCACTCTTGCATAACTTACAAAAGTCACAGCACATTAATTGTCCATTGTTCTTCTTCCATTAGGTGGTACAGGGCCGTTGGTCATCTGTTCAGATTGCTATGACAATGCCAACATCTATTCCAGAACTAGAGAATATTGTCCTTACGCGTACATCACAGAAGATGATCCACTTGACCAAACGTTGTCCAGTCTAATGGTGCAAATGTCCAAAGAGCCTTATCCAGTGTGCCATCGGCATGAAGGCACCACTCTAGATAGTCTCTCACTTAACAATCAAGACAGAACACATGAGAAGAAACCTTGCTCTCAACCATGCAACAGTGGTAAGTGCTGTATTTCCAAGTTGTGATACTAGTGGTTCTCACCCTGTGGTTTTCCAAATGTTTTGGACTACAATGACCAGAAGCCATAACAACCATCATAGTCAGAGGTGAGGGACTCTAAGAAAAATGTAAACCATCTGAATTACTCATAAAAGTATAGTTGACCATTAACTATGAAACTGCTAATATGCTTTGATAAATCTTCAGCATGGCACAAAGTAGCAATAAAATTGTTTTTCGACAGAGAAGCACTTATCCAATTATTTTTTGAAAATATCTAGTCTCCAGAGCTGCTAACCTAGCAGGTTTTAGCAAGCTCCACTACAAAGGACTGTTAACCTCCCAGGTAGGAGTTGTCGATTTTGATTTTATCATTGGGTTCTTTGAAACTGAATTTCAGTACCTAATTATCCAAAACCCATTTGCCAGTAGAGGATGAAGCTAAAGAGATGAGTTATAGACAAGTGACCTTCTTTATTTGCACCCATCCTGGTAACTTTGGAATCAGAAAGACACAACAAACACACTTCAGAGATGACAACAAACACGTTTCTTAATTGGTATTTGTATAGTACTGTACATTAATTACCACTAGGCCCCTTTTTAAATTGACTCAACAGAGGATTGTGTGTTAATTCTGCAGGGAATGTTTTGTAATGCCCAAACATAACAGATTCGTCTGGCGCTGACGCTGATGACATTTCGGCGCCAGGTCAAAACCTTCCTGTTCCAGAAGGCTTTTAATTGAAATAATATCAGCTGTGGGTCTGATGGTGATTTTTAGAGTATATATTTTTAATTGTATTTTAATTATTTTGCCCTTTTATTTTGCCTTTTTATTGTATTTTAAGTGTTGTAAGCCACCCAGAGACCTTCGGGTAGTGTGGGCGGCATATAAGTTAAATAAAATAAAATTTAATGAATGAATGAATGAATGAATGAATGAATGAATGAATGAATGAATGAATAAATAAATAAATAAATAA